GTGAGGAGGAGTGAGGAGGAGTGAGGAGGAGTGAGGAGGAGTGAGGAGGAGTAAGGAGGAGTGAGGAGGAATGAGGAGGAGTGAGGAGGAGTGAGGAGGAGTGAAGAGGAGTGAGGAGTGAGGAGGAGTGCGAGGAGTGAGGAGGAGTGACGACGAGTGAGGAGGAGTGAGGAGGAGTGAGGAGGAGTGAGGAGGAGTGAGGAGGAGAAAGGAGGAGTGAGGAGGAGTGAGGAGGAGTGAGGAGGAGTGAGGAGGAGTGAGGAGGAGTGACGAGGAGTGACGAGGAGTGACGAGGAGTGACGACGAGTGACGACGAGTGACGACGAGTGACGACGAGTGACGACGAGTGACGACGAGTGACGACGAGTGACGACGAGTGACGACGAGTGACGACGAGTGACGACGAGTGACGACGAGGAGTGACGACGACGAGTGACGACGAGTGACGACGAGGAGTGAAGGGGGGTGAGTGAGGGTAAGGTAATTAATATTCTGACAAATGAGGGAGGGTGAGGTTATTAATATTCATACAATGAGGGTGAGGTAATTAATAGGTGAGGAATTAATACGTCACGCGGGCATATTCTGACAAAACCTGCTGACTAGGCATTTTTAGCGTCCCTCCACGTATATGATACAATAGAGGGATTAAGATTGGCTTACTATTAATAGTTCGAGCCCCTCACATGGCAAAATTGTTATCGAAATTAATATATAGCAGAGTTATAGCCGTATCTTTGCTCGAAAGAGATAAATTTTTACAGGTATGTTGAAGGATTTTTCGTATGTTACATAGCAAGGAATCTATTCATCACAAAAATCGAGACATATTTAAAACAGAACGAAAAAACAATTACTAATCCCAGGTTAATATGGATGTTAATATTTGCATGTTGTTCAACATTATTTAGCAAACCGCTACATACATGTAACTGTTCAGATGACCGAGTCAGATCATAAGAAAGCTTATCAATAATAGAAGTTAGAATTAGAACAGTTGTACGTAATACATTTTGCAATAAAAAAAAAAAAATATGTGTTTTACCAAATATGTGGTCGTTATATACATTGCTATGTGTTGCCAGACATTAGCGACGCTTGGGTGCATGCATATATTAACGTACAACATATTTGTAAACCAATCAGGCGGGCGGGGCGCGCGGGTGGAAAAAGATTTCAGTTTTAAAATAAATTTATTTCTTCAAAATGTTTCACAAAATTTAGTACGGTCTACTTCTAAAAGCATAATGTCTATGTGTTTTTGTTATTTTTAAAGAGTTTTCATATTCTTGTCTATGTTCTGGGGATAATTTCGCTACTTGCTCGGGTTTCATAGGAATATATTTAGGTCTGTCGCAATAAACAAGTTTTAAAGTTTGCAAACGTTGTGTCGTTATGCATTGCTAAGTCATTAGGTGATAACGATTAAAGGATTACACGAACAAAAATTTACACAACTATTTGTATCCCAATGGATAGATAGGGATTATTTATGACGCAAGTGTATGCCTTAAAATTAAGTGCGAGGCTTTGCGGGTATAAATATTAGGCACAAATTCAGTTTTCAATGTAATTGTAAAGTAAGCTAATTGTAACGTACATAAATTCGAAATAGAGACTTTGTTAGAATGTTCTACATAATGGAATAATAATCCTCTCGCTATACTGATATATTCAACACAACTTAGGCTCGCAGCCGAGCTGCAATGGTTCGGAATCCTTTTCTTTATCTTCTTATCTTCCTTATCCTTATCTTTAACTTCTTATCTTCCTTATCTTTAACTTCTTATCTTCCTTATCTTCTTATCTTTCTTATCTTTTTATCTTCCTTATCTTCCTTATCTCCTTATCTTTTTCTTCTTATCTTCCTTATCTTTATCTTTCTTTTCTTCTTATCTTCCTTATCTTCTTAACTTCCTTATCTTTATCTTCCTTAATTATCTCTCTTATCTTCTTATCTTCTTATCTTCTTATCTTCCTTATCTTCTTATCTTTATCTTCCTTATCTTTTATCTTCCTGATCTTTATCTTCCTTATCATTATCTTCCTTATCATTATCTTCCTTATCTTTATCTTCCTTATCTTTATCTTCCTTATCTTTATCTTCTTATTTTCCTTTTCTTTATCTTATTATTTTCCTTTTCTTTATCTTCTTTATCTTCCTTCTCTTTATCTTCCTTCTCTTTATTTTCCTTATCGGAGCAGAGCTCTTTAGGCTCGGAACCGAGCTCCTTAGGCTCGGAGCAGAGCTCCTTAGGCTCGGAGCCACAATCTTGGACAAAACCCTTGAGACCATTTCAGCTAAGATTACAAAGTTATTGAACATTGACAAAACAAACTTTGTCCCCCCCTCCCCCCCAGTTCAATGTTGTGAACAACGCCGAAACAACTTTTGGTAATATACCATGATACAAGCTCAACATTGAGTTGGGGGAGCGGGGGTTTAAGAATGGCAACATGATTCAACATGGAGTTTATCATAAAAATACGCGAATTTTCTATAGGGGGAAAATAGTCTCAACCAGTTATGTCCAAGATTGTCTGAATGTGGGAATTTTACAAGCATACCAATTGTTTGAGAGTTATGGTTAGAAAGGCAGGTCGGTTAGTGTTGCGATGGAGGAAAAATTATTAAATATATGTTACACTGCAAGTACTGTAGGTAACCGAAATTTTTATACATATTAGCAATCATTCCAGGCGATGCAAAATCTATATTTATATTGTAAGTAAAGGGAAATTAATTAGGAGGACATAATACACGTCTGGATAAAAGTAAATTATTTATTGGACATCTGTTAAACTTAATTTCTACCTTATTCCATATCATCATTGAAAGCTTCGTATAGTGCATGTAAAAACATATCCAACACTAAAAGTAGCCGAATTGGTCAAACTTGATAACATGGTTTGCTCAGAAAACGGCTAATTACTCTAACGTGGGAACGTTCCCTGATCCATTTGAACCATTTAGCTACTGCTATAGAACATAGCTACAGAGTTTAAAAAGAAATGGAATCATGGGCATGTTAAACGTTGTCTACACAGCTACTTTCATATAGGCAATCGGCACTTTGCACAGGTTATTATACTATGGCGACCCCCCACGAGGAACAAAGTGTCGCCTGTACCAGCTACAGAGTTTAAAAAGAAATGGAATCATGGACATGGTAAACGTTGTCTACACAGCTACTTTCATATAGGCAATTGGCACTTTGCACAGGTTATTATAGTATGGCGATCCCCCACGAGGAACAATGTGTCGCCTAGTCAATGTAATGCCTATTTGAACTTGTCACATCCTAAAATATACGCATGAAACGCATGAATTTTTCTTGTTGTTTCATCTAAAATATATAGTTTTCTACTGCCAGAAGCGAGTAATATCATGTTACTAGCGCATAGAGATCGAGACACATGCATTGGGATTTAATTCAGTTATGTAAATATCACGTTCAAGTGTTGCTGTATATAGGTATTTTCTATAAGATGACGTCATTTGTTCTATAATTTATGAGCCTCAAACTTGCTTTTAAAACTTACAATTTAACCTGAATTTTTTTATATGACGGTTAACCAAGTATAATCTTTATCGTGGTTTGATAAAAGAACGGTAAACAGGCCATTACAACGGTAAACGGGGATAGCAGCAAGATATTATAGCAAATGATAGGTCTATTCATTGTTTTAAATTCGAGTCGCCGTTTACCGTTCTAATGGCCTGTTTACCGTTCTTTTATCAAACCACGATAAACATTATACTTGATTAACCGTCATATAAAAAATCTCGGGTTAAATTATAAGTTTTAAAAGCAAGTTTGAGGCTGATCAACTATAGAACAAATGACGTCATCTTATAAAAAATACCAATACACAGCAACACTTGAACGTGATATTTACATAATTTAATTTAATCCCAATGCATGTGTCTCGACCTCTATGCCCTAGTAACATGATATTACTCGCTTCTGGCAGTAGAAAACTATATATTTTAGATGAAACAACAAGAAAAATTCATGCGTTTCATGCGTATATTTTAGGATGTGACAGGTTCAAATAGGCATTATTTTGCTCGGTTTTCATGCAAACGAATATATATATTGCTCGAAAAACAAGAAGTAACGTGTATATCCGTCTTTCAGACTACTGGAGTGGAAGAAAATTTAAAAAGATTGAGTTATAATGCACAATTAAATTCAGTGTGCTTCAGACAATCTTGGACAAAACCCTTGAGACCATTTCAGCTAATATTACAAAGTTATTGAACATTGACAAAACAAACTTTGTCCCCCCCTCCCCCCCAGTTCAATGTTGTGAGCAACGCCGAAACAACTTTTGGTAATATACCATGATACAAGCTCAACATTGAGTTGGGGGAGCGGGGGTTTAAGAATGGCAACATGATTCAACATGGAGTTTATCATAAAAATACGCGAATTTTCTATAGGGGGAAAATAGTCTCAACCAGTTATGTCCAAGATTGCAGCTCCTTACGCTCGGAGCCAGCTCCTTACGCTCGGAGCCGAGATCCTTAGCCTCGAAGCCGTGCTCTTTAGTTTCGGAGCCAGCTCCATAGGCTCGGAGCCGAGTTCCTTAGGCTCGGAACCGAGTTCCTTAGGCTCGGAGCCAGCTCCTTATGCTCGGAGCCGAGCTCCTTAGGCTCGGATCCGAGCCCCATGGGCTCGGAGCCGAGCTCCATAGGTTCAGAGCTGGTCCTATGGAGCTCGGCTTCGAGCCTATGGAGCTCGGCTCCGAGCCTATAGAGCTCGGCTCCGAACCTATGGTGCTCAACTCCGAGCCTAAGGAGCTGGCTCCGAGCCTAAGGAGCTCGTTTCGGAGACTAAGGAGCTCGGCTCCGAGCCTAAGGAGCTCGGTTCTGAGACTAAGGAGCTCGCTACGAGCCTAAGGAGCTGGATCCGAGCCTAAGGAGCTGGCTCCGAGCCTTAATAACTTTCTCCGGGACTAAGGAGCTGGCTCCGTGCCTGAGGAGCTCGGCTCCGAGCCTAAGGAGCTCGATTCCAAGCCTAACGAGCTCGGCTCCGACAAGGAAGATAAAGATAAGGAAGATAAGGAAGATAAAGATAAGGAAGATAAGGACGGTAAAGATAAGGAAGTAAGAAGATAAAGATAAGGAAGATAAAGATAAGGAAGATAAAGATAAGGAAGATAAAGATAAGGAAGATAAGGAAGATAAGAAGATAAGAAGATAAGAAGATAAAGGTAAGGAAAATAAGAAGATAAAGATAAGAAGATAAGGAAGATAATAAGATAAGGAAGGTAAGAAATTAAAGATAAGGATAAGGAAGATAAGACGATAAAGACAAGGATTCCGAACCATTCCAGCTCGGCTCCGAGCATAAGTTGTGTTGAGTATATCTATATAGCGAGACGATTATTATTCTACTATGTAGAACATTCTAACAAAGTCTCTATTTCGAATTTATGTACGTTACAATTAGGTTACTTTACAATTACGTTGCAAACTGAATTTGTGCCTAATATTTATACCCGCAAAGCCTCGCACTTGATTTTAAGGCATACACCTGCGTCATAAATAATCCCTTCTTACGCGCGGTGCGAAGAGGGGATCTGAACAAATCCAAATTCCGAACTGGTTTCTGATTGGCTAGTTCTAACACTGGATATTGTTTTCATACCATGTTTTATGGTATCCGGTTATGGATTTATCCAGAGCCCCTCGTCGCACCGCGCGTAAGAAGGGCTCTGGTTACGAGAATGCGCACTCCACCACCTCCACCACCTCCACCACACTCCACCACCGCAAAAATCTGGATCGATCGGCCCCTATATTTATACTGAGGCACGCCCGTGTGATATTAAGTTTGATTCAAATGAAGTATCGCAAGTTATTGCCTATAATATGCACATATTTTTGCCAATTGCGCGAACAAGACACTATGGCGTTCCGTACCGGTCAAAATTATTTCAAGTCAATAAGAAATATTCATACATCATATCAGCATGTTATAACTCTTAATATAATGTTGAAAATATCAAGATAAAGTTCAAACTCAAAAAAATAAAACGAAAGTTTAAAACATATACTTGAAAAATGCAAAATACATTTCAAACCTCAAAGGATATATATGAAAACTAAACGCCAAAAAATTTATGAAAACTAAAGTCCAAACTTCTATTTATAAAGCGAAACTCCCAAATGAAAAGTCAAAGCCGCGGCTCATAAAAATAAATCGAAAAGTCAAAAATATAAATCGAAAGGAAACGGAAGTAAGAACTATAATACAGAGGAAGTCAGGAAGCGGAAGTTAACCACAAACATTGCTGATTCAGCCGAATATCTTTCTCGCCGTCTGGATGTTTACAAGAGAAATATAAATATTCTTGTACTAATCTATAGCCAATTCTGGGTGTTATTTGTAAGATACCACGGACAAGTAGATCAAGATCACTGTCCCTTATGGCAGAATGTGATTCCCTGTTCCTATTAGCTGAGACAAATGAACGTCGACGTCGATACGTCGCCGTATTGTACTCTCAGATACTCAAAATTTCTTGCAATTCCTGCCCAGGAAAGTCCAACTTGAGAATTGCGAGTTTCGATTGCCTGTTGTCAGACGTCCAGTCTTGGTTTCCCACACCAGAGATAGTTAACACTCCCACTGTCCTACACTTGTCTGAACACTACCGTGGCAACAACAAAAGTTGTTGTTCTAGAGGATATTAAGCCCTGTGAGATTGAGAAAAATATTTATTTTTCTCTTGTAAACATCCAGACGGCGAGAAAGATATTCAGCTGAATCAACAATGTTTGTGGTTAACTTCCGTTTCCTGACTTCCTCTGTATTATAGTTCTTACTTCCGTTTCCTTTCGATTTATATTTTTGACTTTTCGATTTATTTTTATGAACCGCGGCTTTGACTTGTCATTCGGGAGTTTCGCTTTATAAATAGAAGTTTGGACTTGCGTTTAGTTTTCATATATATCCTTTGAGGTTTGAAATGTATTTTGCATTTTTCAAGTATATGCTTTAAACTTTCGTTTTATTTTTTTGAGTTTGAACTTTATCTTGATATTTTCAATATTATATTGAGAGTTATAACATTTTGATATGATGTTTGAATATTACGTATTGGCTTCAAATAATTTTGACCGGAACGGAACGCGATAAGACACAAGGCCACTGCATGATTATATTCCACACTAATATTTAACGATTCAACAGAAATTAAAACTTAGAGACTGCCGTTACATAAATTGAATTGATATGACACCACGCAAATATGGTTCTCGTGACATATGTATATCTAACCTTAAAAACTTAAAAAATGCAGACAGACACAACAGAATCGAAGGTGTGAAGCTCTAAGGAAATTCCGTAACACCATATTGATGAATAATCAGCAAGAATAAGAGAGGAAAGTGAAGCTAAATCCTGAAGTCATTTGGTGGACAATATGATATAGAAAATTAAATTTTGCTACACGCGTGATTGTTCACTAAAGAAATGCACCAACAGAACTGGGAGTAAATGTGCATAATTTGACCATCGTCTGGGGATGGGTGACGATCGACACTAAGCATTTGGTGGACTTCCATGCCAATATCGATACTTCAATTTAATCAGTGATGGAATCGTAACATTAAAATAGTGTATTTACTTATAACTCGTCTCTTATGTCTTGTGAAAGCGCTAGTTCATGTAGTTATATTATTCCAAATTACTTTTTAAAACATATGCATGAATATAGTCAAACTTAACAAAGTACTTGCAACAATTAAATGGCAATACTTTTCCAAAGCATCGATAGTATCGGTCCTTTTTCTTGTATCGATATTTCTATTTCTGTATCGGCGCATTCCCGAATTCTCCGCGAAATTTCCCGGCGAATTGAAGTTATTTTATTATGGAAATGAGAAGCATGTGCCAAGACAGCTCTTAAATTCACTTCATTAGCATAAATAATAACATATACCTAATTAGCATCACTTAACATCTAGTGTTAACAGGCATGCATCACCAATTTCGTAATAATAAACACGCCATTAATTGTTATTTTCGCGCTTGAAGAAGGAGGTTTTGCGGAAGTTTTGACACGGTCGGAGTTAATGGTTCCAGTGAAAGTATTTAATGCAAAGATTATAGTGATGCAGATACTTTCATGATACATTTCTACTTTCGTGACCGGAACTAAAAAATTTGCACACAAAACATTTCGTTTAATGCCGCACCCTTATTGTGCACAAAGCAGACAGTTTTGATTGATTGGCTAACTTCGGGGGAGAAACATCTTGAAAACTACTGTATTTTCAAGTGCACGTCAGCATGTGCTATAACCAGGACAATGGACGTTGTTATTTATTAATATTATAATTACATATAATTTTTATTATTTTATTGTTAACCACTAATCTTATTATTAATCATTTATATATAGTTTAATTACGAACCATCGACGTATAATCGCTCTTCGTCTTTCGTAAAATTATATATTATTGATTAATAATAAATTATTAATTGTTAATAATAAAATAATGAATTATTAATAATAAATGTTATTAATAGTTAATAATAAAATCATAATATTAGTCAATATAAGTATTAGTCAATAATTAGTCAATATTTAAGAAATCATTCTTTCCTTCCACGATTTCTTTGTGGAATACTCTTGATATTGACATTAGAAATTCAACTTCTCTTTCATGCAAACTTTAAGTTGAAAATAAATAAGATTTACCATCCGCTTTGTTATAATAAAAGGTCAAATTTTTCTCTTACGAGGAAGGCATCTGTTTTACATACAAGCCTATAAGATTAGGTTTTTGCGCGCTTAATGACTATTTGTATAGAATTAATTGTTGTAATTCTCTTTTATGTATATGTTGCCATCAAAATGAAACAGTTAAACATTATCTTTTATTATGTCCTCGTTTTGCTGCTCAACGTAATGAACTTCTTACCTCTGCTGCACTAGTTTTTGGAAAAGCATGGCTAACGAACAACGACAATGGAAAACTTGAATTTTTATTGTACGGTTCTGTTCAATTAAGTTTTGATAAAAATTGTTTATTGTTCGGTGCTGTCCAACGTTTTATTTTGGATACTTGTCGCTTCTCCTAGCAATGCTTTGTGCGTTTATGTATCTTGTCTTTTCTGTAACACTGTCTTATTTTGTTTGTTTATTTATACCTCGTACTGTACTAAATATATGTGTGTTATTTTTGTGTAAATAATGTTATATATTCTTTTTATTATACATGTAAGCCCCCTTGATAAGCATGGCTTTTGGGGCAAACATTTAAACAAAGTTTATATAAAAAAATAATAAGAATAATATATTACTATAATAATATATAACTTATTAAATAAAAACCATCCATCGTCCAGGTTTTAGCACATGCCATGCACGGCTCTCGGAAGCACGCGAATGGTAATACGATAACGAACAACAATGCCTCCTGAACGTCCGACACGTTTACCAGATATTGATTAAAAATCATCATTCTGGTTTCAGCCAAGTCGACTTTTGTTTGAAATTATGATTTCAAAGATACTTAGAATACGACCTTCTGCTACAATTGCTATAATTGGAAGTTAGACACGCGGTATAAATGAAATATAAATAAAGTTAGTGAACAGGAAGTGGGAAGGTTCTGGAATTTTGATTGTTATCTTTTAATTTTTTTCTACGCCTTTCATCCCAAGTGCGGGTCCGATTTTATGACGTCGGTACTCGCCGCGCTTCAAGCTGTCATTTCCCGCTCAATCAGTCTCAGTGTTGGACTGTACTTCGCGTAAATTTAAAAACTTAGTTATTTCTTATTAGATCAAATATAACGAGACTGCAAAAACATTCACACTACCGATATAGTAAGTTCAGTAATGGTTTTGTTTTTATCACCAAGCGTTGTCACACTTTTGATATGGGCGGGCACCCCATAAGTGAAACGGAAGTTATATTACGTTTTATTTTACCACAACAGTATTCTACCAACCACCGAATGTTTGTATCAAATTGCATGTCTGGTAAAGAATTGTAAGTACGACACATGTATATGAGGTGGTTTTGACTAGAAAGCTTTAAAAGTTGAGAATAATTGTAAATCTGTTTACATGCGGAAGTGGAAGTTGTTCTGTTCACTGTACATTATATGAATATACAAGGTATGTAGGCTTCAATAGTTCAGTTTGTTTTAGTTTAAAAATAATATTTATCTTTCCAAAAACTGCTTTGACCGTTTGAGATTAAGTTTCTGAAGTGAGGACCTTGCGCGATATCCAGTCATACGATTGCTTGGCACCGCGGTATATGGAACATAATTATCTTGCATTCTGCCTGTCCAACTTTCCATGTTGATCAAAAATGGGGATTGACTTCTCAGATTCGGAACAATATATCATGACCATGTCAATATAATTTGCGCGTATCCTTAGCGGGAGGGGGGGGGGGGTGTTCGCGCAATGAGAATGTGTTTGTCCAGGGCGTAAGCTAGTCAGATGGTGTGTTGATCATGTTACAGGGCGGGGAATAAATGTGGAACTGAATGCGCGCTGATGAACGATCACTTTCGACGCCCAGCATAGTTTGTGTTGAAGACAATTTTATACGGTTTCCTTGTTACATTAACCAACAAATCAGGTAATTCTAACATTATTGTATGATATATTCGTTATCATAAATATGTCATGTACTGTAGCTTCTAGATGCATGTAGGTAGGCCATCACAACTTATAAACATACACGCGAGTTTATTGCTGATTTGCAAAAGGAGACTGAAATGTGACCGTGGAATTCTCGATTAGTTTATTCTCACAGATTTTTTCAAATCTCGCTAGGTATTCCTTTAATTATTACAGCTAGCTTGAAGGAATTGCTATATATCGGCTTCACTATAGGGCTGATTTGATTTCGAATGTACTGTGTCTTGTCTTCTCAGATTCGAGTTCCTTGTGTCGGTTGAAACGCGTCTACATTTGTCATATGTCTCAATGTCTTACCGCTTCTTATTTACCAATAAGTGTCATTTATATACATTGTTGCCACGTGTGTATTAAACTGTTGGGTTCATGAGGTCCTCTCGCCAGGTATTGTTATTTATTCATTGATGCATGTCTGTATGTTATAGTGTTATGTATATCATTAAGTGTACTATTTTATATTTTTAAACTATCGTCAATAAACTGAATTTAAATGTGTTCCAATTCGACTAACTTGCTTATTCTACTTTGTCGAATTGAGAAACTGCTTGGCACTATCAGGTTTCAAGGCTGATGATGCCCTTTCTGGGATCTTAAATTTACATAGATTACATGCACATACATGTGAATGGTGATATTTCAAGGAATACTAAAGTAGTTAAATATAATCAATACAATACTATACAATTACTTTATGGTTTCCGTGTTTGGATGGCCTGATAAAAACAAGCGGGAATGTTGCGAGAGTTAAGAAAAGCGCGCGAAAGCACGAGGTGAAGGCGAGTGATTTTGCGGGCTTTTCTTAACTCGAGCACATTCCTAAGTGTTTGGATCAGGCCATCCTAACAGGGAAATCATGAAGTAATTGTTTTATAAAATAACAACAACACGATAGTCTTCCGTGTTTGGATGACCTGATCCAAACACGGGTTTCGACCAATCAGAGCACGCGTTATATACATGTTATCCCCGAGCCGACGGCGCGAAGCGCCGTGCGAGGGTACTAATTCCCCCCGACTATTTACACCCGGGAAAAGGATCGCACCAGCGTAGTCTAAAGTTCATCAAATATCGCGGGCGTGGTTCATGGGTGTATGGGTGGTCATCTCACTGATCTCAAAATATGGCTGTTTGCCAGGAGTGAAGAACGAGAAAATTTAAAAAATATATGTAAAAGAGCTTGGAAAATCGTTTCACATAACAAATTGTAAAACTTTTCTTCAATTTTTGAAGGTAAACATTAACTAAGAATTGATTTACCATGATAAATTTTAAAGTATAGGGCAAGTATGTATGTTTCAATTATTTATGTATGCATGACTTTTTATTAAATTAATATAGATTTTGTTCTTGTTGTTCAAGTCTTTCCTATACATTGTATGCGAAAGTTTCTTAGTTAAATTAACTTTTGTAGATGTTCATGATAAAAAGGAAAGCAAATTATTTTCATTAGCGTCCTGTACGAATTAAATATATTTCATTTCAAAGTGCGAGTAATAAGTTGAAGAGATTAATATCGGCAAAAATCCGTTAAAATTCAATTCACATTTAAAAACGTTTTTATAACGTAGTTTCGTTTCGAATTTTGCATTAAAATAAAGCCCATAGAAACCAAAATAATATACCTACTTTATATATTTTAGAAATTGATAGTTCTGTACTTAACAACAGTTAGCACGGGCGACTGTTGCATAGAATTATTTTCATATTAGTTATTTGGTATTTTACTGCATGCTACTGTTAGAACCCTACATTTACAATATTTTTGCGCACTGACACATTGCAATTCACAGCTTGCAGGGGCGTCTGTGATTCATTGTGCCTCACTTTATCATCATATGACGAATAGCGGATGGAGACTTGAGTCTTGCATTGCCTGGGGTGGGGTGCATCTTAGCAGAGTAAGATGCTTTGGCGTAATCTTGCCCTCACCTTTACTGGGCAAAACTGTTTGAGCACATCTTTCATGTGCAATATATATTTATATATAATTAATTAATTTATGTTATGAAAATTTAAAATAAAGCGCCTGGGGATTGGGCGCGATTGCAGAATACCCGTCCACTTTTGAAGACTTCACCTGTTATCATGATACGATGATACGAAGTGAAAATGATTACGTAATAACTATATATTTGCGCTACTATAACAGTCTGGGTAAGTTATATTTTTGGCTGATACGACGATACGATGATACGAAGTGAAAAGGATTACGTAATAACTATATATTTGCGCAACTATAAAAGTCTGGGTAAGCTATATTTTTGGATGATACGATGATACGAAGTGAAAATGATTACGTAATAACTATATATTTGCATTATTATAAATTATTTGAATGCTGTTCTTAGGGTTTGTAATCCAAGTGAGTATATATATACATATTAAGACCGGAGCAGGAACGACTGCGAAAAATGCAGCACAAGGTCCTCTGGTAGGAATTGAACCCACGGCCTTGCGATTCCGGTCCAGCGCTCAAACCAACTGAGCTACACTGGAGCCCAGCTGTTGAGCTGTAACCGTAAGTTCATGTATATATAGGTGATCGTGTGTGCGGGTTGAGATAAGGTGGACTTATATACATGAACTTACGGTTACAGCTCAACAGCTGGCCTCTGTAGCTCAGTTGGTTAGAGCGCTGCACCGGAATCGCAGGGCCGTGGGTTCAATTCCTACCAGAGGACCTTGTGCTGCATTTTTGCAGTCGTTCGTGGTCAGATCTTAAAATGTATATATATATACTCACTTGGATTACAAACCCGAAGAAGAGCATTCAAATATTAATACCACCAAGTGAAGTGCAAGAAACCAGATCATTGAAGTCCGCTATTATAAAAGTTTGGGTAAGCTATATTTTTGGATTTATACTAAATAATTAGATATGGCCCACGGGTAAGGTTTTCAAAGAATGACACAAAGAGATATACATGTCTTTCAAAGAACGAGGCAAACACATATACTGTAAACGTGCTATTTCGCTTCGTATCATCGTATCACGCAATAATATAGGTTACTCAGACTTTTATAATAGCGCGGTCATATAGTTATTACGTAATCATTCTCACTTCGTATCATCGTATCATGATAAGGGACCGGTTATTATTTATGGAAGGGGGGAGGGGAATTTTTTCTTTCCTAAATTTTTAAAATTGAAAGCCCCCCCCCTTAAAAGAGCAGAAATTTAATGATGACCCCCCTCTACATATTAGAATATTTTTCTTTGACCCCCCATTTTCATTTTTACTCGACAAATGGGGATACCCAGGCATTATAATGTTAATTATTAATTAAATAAGAATATGGAGCTGACAAGATATTAACGTCGACCAAAAATATACATTGGCAGAAAATTATAAATAAAAGAGGGGTATTTTCATATATAACTCTAAAATCAGGTTTCCATTTGATCTGGGCGATTGTAACCATGTTTAACGGCAGAGAATTAATGTTAGTGTTTGGAGGCAGGTGCCGTTTGTGGTCCAAGGTTGTAACTAGATTTGATGGCACAAAGTATTGCCATAGCAGCTGCATAGCAATGAGAGTAACAATCAGTAATATTAGCAGCAAAAGGAGATAGCCATGACAATTCTGGACATTCTGCCAAGGCATACCTCCGGCACCAGTCACACTGACAAGTCAGTGGAAACAAAATATAATGTATAGTGGTCTATACATCCTATTTTATGTGAGATTAAAAATTATATAAAATAAAATGACCTACTACCAGATAAAATCCTCTAGAATAAACATGGGTGGGTGTGGGTAGGGGAAAGGTATCTAAGCGCTAAACTTGCTGCAGCTAGGCAAAGCATACAATGGCAGTATGAATACCCAGACCGAAGCACTGATCACAAGGCGCGAAACAACCCCCTTTAATCGATATGACGTCACAGACTCCCATCAGTGGATGTGGCCTGCATAGTACATTCGCCGTTAACCTTGCTTAAATGTATTTAACCACATCAAGATAGCTGATGTAATAATACATTGTCAATTTATCTCTGCAATCAGTAAAGACTGATTTGCATACAGCACACAGAAGACAAGATAAATCCAGACTATTTCACACCAGTGACCATGATTTAGTCGCAATTACAACCAAATGGATACCATGCTTATTAATAAGCAAATTCCTTCAAATTTAATTGCACCCCTCCCCCCCTCCTCATTTTCTTGAAAAATTTAATAGCCGCCCCCCTAGTCATTTATTTATACATATGCCCCCCCTCATTTTTTCACTCCCCCCTTCCATAAATAATGACAGGTTCCTAACAAGGGATACCTTCAAAAGTGGACGGGATCTGCTATTTAGCCGTAAACAGAGCTCAATCAATGCAACACTCAAGCTTCGATACGTTTAGGATTGTTATGTCGGGCATAGGGTGGAAAGCATAAATTATACTTGTGATGCACAGCACGCACAAGGAATTTAAAACACTTGTTGATGTTCATTAGATCATTCTCTTCTTGTTCAAGGGAAAATTGGCCTACATTCAAAAGGGCAGGTGTAATTATATTTACAAGACCGAAGACGCTTGTCCTAAGTTTACAACTGTCAGTCGTAGTAATATGAAATGTTATTTTAAGGTAAGAGTATCGAAAGTCACGGTACTTATAAGTGCCCGTGGTATTGAAAAACAATACTGTACACATCAGCAGCATAGTTTAAATCTTTCTTTCTTCATTTTAATTTGTTCTCTTTAATCAAAGATAGATTTGTGAAACGTGATATCTGTACAGAGTAGACAAACCTTTCTCATAAAGCATATTTACTTATTATTGCTATCATAGCGATAGCATGTTATTTGATGCCCCAATCTGCCTCGTTACGCAATGAATTGGCTTGCGATTCAAGATTTAACCAGACACAGTACTAAAATGCGGTGCCCTGCAAAAAAAATTTCTGACGTTTTGCCTACAAGTACACTTATATAAAATATACGCTAGATGGGGCCCCTAGATTCCTCCTGTTGGCTAATACATGAAGTTTCTATTGAGGGAAAAGTGAGCGCGCGAGGACCCACCATCGAATTTTTATCGAATTTCTAAAGTTTTTTCATGTGACGTCTAATGTTACGCTTACATTTGTTTTGGACTTCGGCCACTGTCAGTTCTATATTTTTTATAAAGTTTTGGTTTCTTAGCGTGATAAATCTGTGTATATAGACAATATAGTCTATATAATGTTGGTAAATGCGCCAAGCAGTAAACAGACTTGATATGAAATCTGATCTTAATTTACATGTATGTCAATGAGACGCACATGTTTAATATCTGTCACCTCTGATTGCCCTTTAACTCCTGGTCTTTGCTACTTCAATCTTTGCTACTTCAATATATATTGCTTCTTGTCCTTCTTCTCAGTTCCATTCGCAGCTCACTAGTCGCTGCGAGTAATCACTGTGCTTGATATAATTTATGTTCTTTACTGCGGTTCTATTTGCTTTTAATGCCCGCAGCAATCCCTACCTTGCAGGTACCCTAGTTTAATATTTAGCACGCTACATTCTACTGTCGGCCGGACAGTACTAAACCACGAAACAGCGAAACGAAACAGCGAAACAACGAAACAGCGAAACGAAACAGCGAAACAACAGGTTTTATATTATTTTTAGTAAAAGGAATAAACTATATTTATATCAAAGTAGAACGAAGTTAGACGAGATGAAATCCTCAAAGTCAGGGACGCCGGAACAATGTGAAGGCAGGGGGGGGAGGAGATTTTCGTGAAAGGGCACTTTTGAATTGGTATATACTTAGCCCGCGTGCAGGCCCAAGGGAACTGATAGTGGGCCTGCAAGCAAGGTCCGGTATTTTGTACTTTCCGCGTTCGCCCACGAACGCGGCATTCTGATTGGATGTTTGCTGCTGGATTCTATAATTAGGTCAGTGATTCATCACAAAGGCTCTCGATAAGCTCAAAATTCGAAAATTGATCACTTTTTTCGATTATAAATGGAACAATAACAGACTGTTTATTGTTTACTTGAAGGAAGAGATGTTTTTTCCGTTATGCCAATAGGGATTGCTTGTCGTGAGGTGTTGGAATAGCAGCATTACGACTGGGGTAAACTATAGTGACCTTTACTTGAGTTTTATTAATTTCAAACAGACGTGATACGTTATATGTTCCTCAAGAAAATTATCTTTTGGTTGATGTTGAGATGCAGTTGCATGTAAGCCTATTCGAAACACTTTGCGATTTACAAGGTTTCGCTGAGAGAGCGAAACAGAAGACGGTATTAAATTGCCGTTTGAAACGAAACGATCTGGACGCTCTGAACGCTCTCTTCTTTTGTAAAGTTCTTTACCAAATGAAATAACTGAAATAAATTTCGTACTTTCCGCCGACAACAAGAATTGCACACACGATCTGATAAGCGAGACAATTTATTTACATATATATAACAATACCAATGGCGACAGCGAAGCACACATAATATAAATGCTAATGTGGTCGCACGACTTCCCTCACGATTTGAAGTTTGAGACTGGTTTTCTGTTGAAATTCGTCCTAATTTGCCTGTTCCGATTTTAGTTGAAAATGAGCACTTGCAAATTTGGCAATTACTGGCTGCGTTGCTTGCTTTTTTGGAGTTAAAACGCTGCGATTTATACATTGTTTATGCATGATCTGAATAAGCAGAGAAAACCCCGCAAATTTTAATGCGAGTTTGTTTGTTAATATTTGGGTGCTGTCATTGGTTCTTTTTTGACAATTGACGCGCGAATGGGGCGTGTTATGAAAAGGGGCGTTTTATGAAAATGGGCGTTTTACAAAATACCGGGCCTTGCTTGCAGGCCCACTATCAGTTCCCTTGGGCCTGCACGCGGGCTAGTATATACTAAGAGACATTTGCAAAACATCGGGAATTGAACTTCGCCTAACCATACACCCTTTTCACAAAGGCGGAAATTAGGGCGGCATATTAATAAGGTGCATGAAAACGAGGCTAGTTGGGCCTCGCGCGATGCGGTTCTTCCAAATTTATATGTAGTGTTTAGTGAGCAGTAAACGTTCAAAAATTTGGCGATAAAAACCTTTAAAAGGTCATATTGTGAACTGTATTCAGCCCATCAGAAATGCCTGCAAATTGTTGCGTCCCTAAATGCACTAAAAAAGGTTCCAGAGATGAGAACGGGTCAAAAATATCTTATTATAAGTTCCCTGATAACTCGACGATCATGAAGCGAAAGTGGATTCATGCAATTAGACGTGACGAAGGAAGAGATTTCACTATAACAAAGTGGACTAAAGTCTGTTCAAGACATTTTAGAGATTACGACTTTCAGAAAACACTGAATGGCAGGAGAAAATTGCGCCCGAACGCTATTCCTTCGCAATTTGAATGGACTAGAATGTCACCAAGAAAGCGCAATGCACCTACTGTACGCGTGCCTATAATTGATACTTCTAATCCCAATGATAATTTCTCGAGAGATTTGAACTTAGAAACTTCAACTTCTGATGGGGAAAATAATAACGAAATTACTATTGATTGCCCATTAAAGGATGTAGAAACACAAACGGTGTCAAATCAGATTGATACTGCTGTAAGTTCTTTTATTTGTCAAAACGCTCCAATCAATGCCAATGCGGGCAATGACAACACAGAAAAACTAAAACAACAATTGCTAGATTACGAACGAGACTTGAAAAACGCGAAATTAAATATTTTGTCTCTTGAGCAAAAAGTTTTCACGGCAGGTCGGTTTAAAGATCACGACTCGTCTGTCCGATTTTACACTGGTTTTGCAAATTGGAGAACTTTCATAGCTATATTTAACTATTTAAATCCTGGTCGTAACGGTGAGAACATCAAATACTGGTACTCTGATTTGTCTCAATGTGAAACAAGTGATGACAATAACATCACTATGCCTATGGAAAATAAACCAAAATTAGGTAGACAAAGAAATCTCAAACCTCTTGACGAATTTTTCGCCGTTATGTGTAGGCTTCGACAAGGCTTTCATGAGGAACATTTAGCTAACCTGTTCGGTGTTTCGACAGCCACGATTAGTCGTATTCTAATTTCCTGGATAAATTTTATGTACTTAAAACTTGGGCAACTCAATATTTGGCCTTCAAGGGAAGCAGTCGACAAGTTCATGCCTGAGAGTTTTAAAAAGAAGTATCCGTCCACCAGAGTGATCATAGATTGCACGGAAGTTCGATGTCAAATGCCAAACAGTTTGCATTTAAACGGCGAATTATTCAGCAACTATAAGCATCACACGACATTCAAAGGCTTGATTGGTATAAGTCCTGGAGGGGCAGTGACTTTCATTAGCCAATTGTACACTGGCAGTATATCGGACAGAGAAATCGTCATTCGAAGTGGATTTCTTAAACTCCCTTTCCAAAATGACGATTCCGTTATGGCAGACAAAGGCTTCACAATCGAGGATGTTTTACCCCTCGGTGTATTACTGAATATTCCACCGTTTCTTGGGCAGTCCAGTCAAATGTCCGCTAAGGATGTTGTCAAAACGGAAGAGATTGCCAGCTTGCGGATACATGTAGAACGAGCTATTAACAAAATAAAGAACTTTCATATATGGGACTCAGTCATACCACTTAGTCAGGTTGGAATTTTAAACCAAATGTGGACAGTGTGTGCAATCTTGTGCAATGCTCAACCAAATATTATCTCTACTTGACGCGTTATACACTGACTGTATATAGTTTTAATTGTTTACGTTTGCACAATTATATATGAAATGTACATTTTTAATGAAATTATGAAATGTACACCCTGAGAACGAATTCCTATTGGTTAATATATTCAAAACTATCATTTCTATTAATACTGCATAACTGCTACTGCTCATAGTCGAGGACAATACAGTCTGACGAAGTTTTTACTTGTTTGTATTTATATTTAACAGTTATCAGTAACGCAAATATTAATACATTTATTTGTTAAAATCAGCTGCTGCAACTTTAATCATATGTTTAAAATAATATTCGGTAAGTTTATTTCTGACCGTACTCCAAAACGCAGGTTCAAATGGAATTCTTTCAACATACAAGCCTTTGCTTGTGTAAACAATAAAATCGCACCATTTACATCCAGTAACTCCCATTTGACCTTGTACCTGGGAAAAATACGCGTGGTTTCTTTTCAGTCTACAATGTGTGTTACTATTTTTTTCCATGCAGAAATTTGGATCTGAGCATGCATCCAGTGGTGCAACATTAAATTTAGTAGATGGGCATTTAACTTCAGCTAGCCCAAAGCAAACGGAGCATCCAGGGTCGATAATTCTGGCATCAGGTGTTGCTCCAAGTAAGGGGTAGCATTTTGAAACGACAAGACCACTTTTCAAAACAGTAACAGGGGTTTTCCGGTTCAACATAAACTTTTCATATTCTTGAAGAGCAATGGGTTCATATTTAATTCCATGGGCCAAATGCTTGGACGAGATTTTTTTCGGATACATGAGCGACTGCACAAATGTTTCGTGATTTCGTTGCCTTCTAGTAATCATTTGAAATTTTGACGCAGTAAATCGGTAGGTACGCTGCTTTATCCATTCATCTGACTCACTTTGTGATCGTGTGCTACTTTCAATCAAATTGATTTTATCTTCGCTGACTGATAGATAGTTTAAAAGTTTCAACTCTTCGGCACTCAGGTCTTTAGGTATGTCTATTGCAGAATCTTCAACACTTAGTGGAAATCTCGGGTAATGTGTCAGAGGTGTTGTAAAGTTTGAATTGTTTCTTGGTATTGATGTTAAGTCAGCTTTAGCATCAAAATTCGCTTCGGTAAATGACGTCTGATAGCTCAAGAATGAACCCACTGGGGTTTCCCCAAATTTTGAATCAACAATTTCTAGACTTTCTCCTGAGTTTTGACTTAAGATTTGAGCAAAACCCAAATTAGAGTCAATCTTTTCAAGTTCGGATTTAAGTTCGCTTTCATTAGAAAAATCATATTCTGGCTTTTCTCGTGCGTCATAAAGCAAACATTTAAGGTTCATTTTACCTCGGGTATTGTCAGGGCGCTCTTCCAGCTTCGTCTTTTTAACAACAACGTCCATTGCTGGCTCAGGATGGATATTTTCTCCACCACCCTTCTTATGCCATCTTTGCAGCTTTGACGTACAAGCAAGAGTTGGATTTTCATCATTTTCATCACACAAATCTTTGGTCGTTTTTGCTTCAAATAAGCTAAACTTACACATCTTTAACATTAGTGCTGAAATGTGATTGCAGTATCCTACTTGGCCTGCGACACAAGTGCACCTACTGTGTATCACGGTTCCTTTAACAATACATAAAGTAATCTTTAGTTCATGGGGAGGGTCATTTTTTCTAAAACTATGATAACATTTTGCGCGGAAGTAGAAATATCTGCCATCACTTGATGCCATTATTTCGTGTAGATATTCATCGTCGAGAAATGTTTTTGCTTTTCGTAATGATGTCGGAACTGAATGATGTTCTAAACCCGCAATGGTCTTTCCAGATCTTGAAATGTGTTCAGTCATTTCCGCCTTTGTAAACAAAGGCATTTTTTTCAAGCAGGTATTCCATCCATCATCTGGATACTTTACAGATCTCTGTGCAGCGTTGTCTTTTTTGTCGTTCGATACAAAGCTACAAGATGCGCCTACTTGTTTCAATTTCCTTTTCGTATAAAGCCCATTTGGGTCAGGGTCGGAGATCGTCTTATCTTTTCCAGATACAATGTATTCTTCAACTCTAGAAACATAAATAAATTATTTTAGCGAGGCGAAAAAATGGCATATATGAATTTATTTACAGTATTAAGGGAGTGGTAGTCGTATACCTTTTGACAAGTTCGGCTTTTGTTTTCAGTCCTTTCCCGGAATCTCCCCGACATTTCAGCCAAAATCTAAGATCATCATTGCTCAATTCTGCAGGTTTTCGTCCATATAAAGAAGCACCGGGAATATCTTCTTCTGTTAGAACACATGAAATTATCGCACCGGCCATATTTTGTTTATAACTTGGCCAACTAGCCTCGCTTCCGTTTACTTAATTAATATTCCACCTGATTATTTAGCCTTTTTGAAAAGGGTGTATGTTTTCTATTTATTGGATGATAGGGGTGTGAGGGAGTTCTCCGCCAGGCGATTGTGCTATTCTTGAAGCTCAATGACTGCATTTCTTGCGTTTTCTGAAGCAAATTTGTAAAATAATTGCACTAACATTTCTGACAATTCGCTATTTCACCAAGGCAATCCTTTAAACTGAAAGGGCACCTTTGCTCCCCCCCCCTTGCCCCTTCTGCTAAAGGGCAACGGGGGCGGCTGCCCCTCCTGCCCCCCCCCCCAGTTCCAGCGTCCCTGCTTAAAGTTACAACGCCATCAGCGCATAAAAGTCATAATTAATACTAATAGTGTCACGTATTAATCTTTATTATCGAATGTTGGGAAGGATATAGAAACTCTTCTGCTTTTCGAATACTATCAAAGTTTCCTCTGTTATAATTTCTTTGAAGTTTTCATGTTGTTTTGACAGTGAAACGAGCATGTGTGTGGGGTGCTCGGTCAAAACGGCCCCAAGGCAAACGGCGGCCCCAAGTCAAAACGACTCCAAGTCAAAACGGCTATTGCATGCTTTGAAAATTATTATACAAATAAAATTATTATTACACGAGTTCAAACTATAATAAGTTTTATGACAAATTATAAAATTAATTCAAGGATTAGGTAATTTAGATTGTAAATATTGAACTATGGAGTTGTTTTATTCAAATATTCAACTATGGAGTTGTTTTATTCAAATATTAATTCTCGACTTCGTCTCGGTGAAGGAATTTCCCCGATATAAATCACCTCGCCTTCGACAAATAAATTTTTAAATGTTCACCTTTGCATAGCTGTAATTTCTGGCAATGGATTTATTTTTGTTATATAGTAACATAATAGTTCGAACAACCCAAGCGGGGCCGCCATTTGACTTGGGGCCGTTCTGACCAATCGCGAGCATGTGTGTGGATTGGATATGAGAAAATTAGTTTCCCGGCGTCCTTCCCAATAATAAAGACTTCATATACGTCACTACGCCACTGCAAGTCTGCATCCACAACGGCAAGTAAAACAAACACCTATGGCGACAAAAAACAGTTGCTAGAATATTTTTCACAGTAACACATTATGAAATTGTATCGGATTTTTAAGTATTTTAGTCTTTTGGTGCCTATTACAATATTAACTATTGGGCCTCTATGCCTATGGATTTGTAAAGGATTCACTAATAGTAATAAAACATACCGTACATGAAAACATTCTTCAATTTGGGTAAACGTATCACAGTTTTGATGCTTATTTTACTTTTACCTACTGAGACTATTATGTGCTGATGCCGTGATGACGTTGTACGGTTGTAACTTAATTAAAGATTTAATTTTATCTCGTATAACTTAATTCGTTCTAATTTAGTTTAACTTAAATGTAGTTTATTCATTTCACTAAAAATAATATAAAACGTGTTGTTTCGCTGTTTCGTTTCGCTGTTTCGTTGTTTCGCTGTTTCGTTTCGCTGTTTCGTGGTTTAGTACTGTCCCTGTCGGCCGCCAGTTGGTCCGTACGTTAGGGTCGAAACTGCGTTTTAAAGCCTTCAAAATAAAATATTTTGGGCTCAAAATACTATCAAAATGAAGAGAAAAGTGAGACGAATCCACTGGCATACGGCCGAAAACGAGAAAACCCAACAATTCCGAAGTTATCAAGGATCAAACGGACTGCATTTTTAATTAGTTTAGTAATTTTGAGCGATTTGTAAACAGTACAATTTCGCTTATTAAAACTGCACATTAAAAGCTTCAAAATATAATATTTTGGGCTCAAAATACTAAAAAAATAAAGAGAAAAGTGAGACGAACCCACTGGTATACGGCCGAAAAAGAGAAAACCAACAATACGAAAGTTATCAAGGTCAAATGTATTGCACTTTTAATTAGTTTAATAATTTTGAGCGATTTGTGAACAATACAATTTCGCTTGTCTTTCAAAGGCCATAAATCGCTAGAATACTGTAGTTTAGTAATACATTTGACATTTGTGAGTATAATTTCTTACACTGAATCGAACGGTGGTATTTTTGTCCTTATTGGGCGCATAAAACCAGCGATAAGACGCAGCAAAAAGTCAATCGTGAGAGTGAGAGTTGTAATTCGAAAGAAAACTTTCCTCGAAAAAAGGAATTCGGAAAACGTGAAGGATTATTTTGAGCGACTTTTGTCTTCAAAGGCGACAAATAGCTAGAATAGAAGTCAATTTTGAAATAAATTTTCCATCCGTAAACACAACTTTTCACGTTGATGCGAACAGTGGTATTTTTGTCCTTTTTTGACGCATAAAACCAGAGATAAAGCTGAGCAAACAGTCAATCATCATGAGAGTACACGATTAATAATAATAATAAATTCCGAGCACGTGCAAGGAATTTTTGGTACGCGATTAAGGAAACGTATTGATGCGAACAAACTAACAAACAAACTAACAAACTCACAGGCAGAATATAATGCGGTGCCAAAAATGGCACGGGCACCGCAATATATCAATTTAAGGATCAACTGAAGCTTTAAACCTGATTTCTTAAATTTCTATTTGCTATTTGTTATGTTTCAAGTTGGCGGTTATCATTGACTTGCAAGCAGCCTCTTTCAATCTGACATATATTAAATTATTTGATGTTTTATTTACTGTATGTAAGTCGCAACTGTGTACAACTGTCTTCTTAAGCCATTTTGGTTAGGAATAAGCTATTCCATAGATTACTTATGGCCATTTAATTTGCGAGCCAAACTTTAGAAAAAGTGATGGAAACTGATTTACATGTTCTGCAAAATCTCTCTTTTCTACGATATATTATTTTTGTTTGCAACACGGATGGTAAATCTAGTATCAATCGGCCGACCTCCGTCTTTTGATAAGATTATCGAGAAGAGAGTTGTAGCACTTGGAGGTCGCTTATTAAAAGTAAACGGTTTTTATTTATATTAAATCTGACATGTTTCGGCTGGCTAGTCCTTAAAATCACAGTTAAATGAATCGGTAAGAAGACATATACGAGCACGTAAAGAAATTTCGGGATATGCTACATTTATCTGCTAGTGGGGTTATTAAACCAGAATTTAATTAAATTAGCATAACTCACAGCAACCGCTCATTTTGCAGTTACCACATGCTTTTTTTGTTGGCTAAAATTTACACATATATTACAACAATCTGCTCGCTGATTCAACAAAACTGAATATCTATAAGTTAAATCCACGGTAAGCAGTTTTTAGGGAGCGGGTGCTTTGCTTATTAATTAAAAGCGTCATGATAATTTAGTTTTCAATGAGATCTCCAAGGGGTAAATTAAGTGCATTTAAAACGGAAACACTACTCAGCTTTGCAACTGCGGGAGACATTTCGCATTGTGTTCGGACTTGCATATAGAATGAAAAATAACGTTAATTTAAACTTGCTTAATTGCCCCTTGATATTTAAAAAAAAATCTGGTTAGTTTAATTTAAAAATTTCCCTTGTTGGACCTTGAGATAGTCCTACTTGCTTGTTATTTAATATTTTCCCACGATAGTCTAGTTAATTTAATTTGACCAGAAATTCCTACTGATTTAAATTAACCAGACTTTGTTACTGTCGATATATAAGCAGGCACCACTGGTTATTGATCCACCTAGCATAATCTGCTTATTTTAATAGGGATGTCGCGGTAAAATATAACTAGATTTCTGATTACATTAACCAGACTGTGCATGGTAGGAAGCGAAATAAAATAGTTAAGAGAGGATGTCCACAAAAATCAAACATAAGGCGGCCACGACTGAAAAATCGATTTTGCTCAAATTTTGCCCAGATATACCTTATTATATCGGAAAATGCACCATATATTTTTTTAGGTCAAACGCTTTTTTAACTTTGAGAAAATGCCGTTTTAACACGACCACCCTAAATCGCCATTTTGTCTGGGAAAATATGCGCTAATTTTACAGACAAATTTCACGACGACAACCGTTTCTAATCGACCTAAAACCCTAAAAATCTTGTTTTCGGTTATTCAAAGGACCGGGTAAGTGACTTACAGGAAATCTGAGTCACTTTTAGGAATAGAAATAATCGTAGTTTTGGAGCACACTATCTTACTTCATTTACGATACCCTCTTAACAAAACCGATTTTCACCATGGGATAAAGCACCAAATCGATCATGCTTCTACTAGTTGGCTCTTTAATAAACAAGCTTTCAATTGACGTAAATACTTCTTTTGGCAAATGAATACGCGATAAACGACAGCGCGTTGAAATCTTCCGTTTTTGACGTCTTGCAAGTCTAACGCTGTTAATTTATACACCGTCGAAGTCAACAATTTAATCAAGTATTCTAAGTATTTTACCTTTTGAGAAAAAAAAATTTTCTTGAATGGAGACTTTTCGCCTTGCTAAGTTTAAAATTGGTCCAGAAATGTCGGTATGTTTGTAAAAAAATCATCAAACAGCCGGTGTTTCGAGATATTGTTGTCGGTCGCATGATAACTTCAGATCATTATTCAATCCGAATTATCTACGACCCAGTCGTTTGACTTTAGCGCTAACATATACAAATCGATGAGCTATTTATAGGGATTATATTTGCTACTAAATTTCCAAAAATAATTGGAACTACACTGAACTGCTGTTTCCAGAGGTTTTGTTCCATTTTGTCCATATTAATGTACCATTTTATTTATCGACTGATGTTTACGAATACGTTAGTTAATTATTAAGCAGCTGTTAGCGTGCGTGTACCACTGATCTAATAGTAGACTATTAGATCAGTGGCGTGTACATGTGAAATGAACATTTATATATTTCCATATAAGGAGTTTTTATTTTTAGTTTACCAGCCCTTAGATTTGAATAGCCGAATTCATATTAGGGGCGGGAAACTCGTCTGTGAAAACCCGTCTGAATATGAATTTACGGACAGATAAATTCGAATTTAAGACGTGTTTCCCGTCTAGATGAGATTCCCGTCTAACTTTTCCGTCCGTTTTAGGTCTAGACCGGTAAGTTAGACGGAAAAGTTCGGACGGGAAACTCGTCTGCCCCCGGATTCATATTTGACGAGTCTCCCATCTAATACGGGTTTCCCGTCTCTAAAATGAATTCGGCTAATGCATATGTGTGTTAAAACTGCAAGGTTTACACTATTGATCTTATTAAAATCCCACATACCACAACGATTATACGTATTGATTGTTTCTTGACGATAGTGGACACGTACGCGTGCATGTTGCGAAAGAGGTTATTTCGCTGGCCTCAGAGTGACAAAACGTACCCTAGTTCCAGAGGTTTAAAATAATAAACCTCTGGTTGAAAGCGACAATTGATTCATCGAGCCGCGCCAATCAGTTTGAATTAGGTCAGATCCTGACTCTGTCTCCTGCTCTCTGAATAGTTATATATGTTTTATTTGAATCAATCAGAAAGCCTTAATACAATCATCCAATCAGGAGACAGAGTCAGGATCTAACCCTTAATTGCTCGTTATTAAATAACATACCGTAGTAAATAATTTAATCACCATTTCTAAGTCTTTTACTTCTTCGGTGACAAAAAAAAACTACTTGAAAAAGACCAGGGCTTTAAAAATTATTCGAAGTAGATAGTCTGCCTCGTCCCTCGTCGCTTAGAGATCAGTGGAAAAACAATGGGAGCGCGGTGCTTAATGGGAATGCGATAGAATCTGAAGCGACTCGGAAATCCCGCATTAAAGATGGCGTCCATTGTAATTTGCTGAGATAATGCAAATAGGGAGGATTTTTCAAGGTCGTTATCATAGATATCTATGGTCGTTATGCATGGCGAGGAAACGTTAAAGTATATTTCCTGTTTATTGAAGAAGGGTACGAAGGTATGTTCATTTACATTTTACATATTTTACGCTCAAAAATGTATCAATTGTCGCAATTTATTAATATATGTGCATATTTAAAAATATCGATCTTATTTTGACTGCTGTAGAGTGTAGACATTGGCAAGTAGTTCTTGGTTCGACGTTTCTGGAGAAGGAACGTTATTTCCATATTTGGCCAAGATCCGAAAGAAGTTGCCAAAATATACGGAATGTTTCTTTTGCACTCTGTCAAACTAAAGACATACGCTGATCAAAATAATCCCTGTCGAATCTCAGGTAAAATATTGTTACATTAATTTCTATGAATCAATCATTTTATAGCCTTTGCACCATGTGCAAGTAGCAAGGTTAAGCATGCCACCTTGAATATATTGTTAATTGTTTTCACCATTGTGTTTGCATAATTGCATCCCTTGCAAATTTACCTATAGGCAATTTTATTTTTTGCACCCCTTGCAGGTAGGGTCGAGGGTCTATGCCAAGTCTATTGTTTTCAGTTTTTGAGGCTTAACACCATACTGACTTGGTTTTATTAATGCATTTTTCAAAACAAACCCTTGTGCACTTACTTAGCAATCAGCATCAGGTTTGAGTGATTCAAACAGTGATAGTACCTTTAAAAAGGCTTGCTATACATAGGGATATCCCTCTCATCAGGCGCAACCAGCTTTTGCAGAAACATCCCCCATGTTTGAACCTCTTTTAGCATACTGTTCTTATTAATAATTTCATTGGGAAAAAACATAGGTGGGTGGGGCCTAGCCAGGTACCAATTAGATCATGTATCAAGGTTGTCAGAACTCAGAAGTGGGGGGGGGGCAGCATAAGCCCCCCCCCCCATATTCCATTTGTATGAGCAAACACACACAAACGAACTAGAAAAGTGCAAAAGGAATTCAAATTTATTCTTGAGACCACATCCCAATATTAATTCACTTCCGACAGCCTTGTGTATATACATGTAATAAGTTTTCAAAAATGTCAGATTTTCTAAGAAGATTTTTTCTTAATTGCAGGCTACTAAAGAAAACAAGAAATGAAACAAGATGGAATGAATATTTATTAAATTACAGATTTTGATACAAATTTAATTATGATACAAATTTATCTATTGTCTGGATATTATAAAAAGTACTCAGACCAAATAAAAATAATAGTTGGTTTCAGGTTTCTGACCGACCTGTCAAAAATATGACCGACCATAAACATTTTGTTGACATTTCCCAGTAGGGATCATCTTTTCGTAAATATCAGAATATATAAATAGTCATCAGACTCATTTGCTACAAAGTATTTTGTTTGCTCATAATTTAATCATTATCTAGTCATGTTAATCCTTGATGCATTTGTTTCTTGCAAAACATGTGTAGCTCGCGGTTGATCCTGTGTGGCACGTCTGATTATGTGTGACAGTTGAGATAAAATTTTCCGACCTACCTACCCATATAAAATATGGCTGTGAAACCTGAAACCAACTATTATTTTTATTTGGCCTCAGTAAGTACAAAATATGAACAAAATGCTCTACAATGTACAGATATATGTCACCATTTATTATAATCATATCTTCAAGGAACTTGTAAACATAATATTGCAGAGATCTGTAAAAAAATGCTTTCATTGTTAACTCAGAGCAGGCACAGATTTTCTGAGGGGGGGGGGGGTGCGCACCCTCCCTGAAATGATATGCACCCCCCAAAGGCATTTGGCACCCCCGAAAATTACATATATTTTGATTTGATAGTTTCATATTTGATTATTCTTACCACTAAATTTGTAAAATACCAATATTATGGTCTCAGATCTCGCCATGCAGGCCTAGAAAAAAATTTTGTTAAACTTTTTCCTTGGCCTTTCCTGGCGTTGCCACCACGCTCCGGCCAAAGTAAGCAGCAGCACCCCCCAGATATTTATCCACACACCCCCCCCCCGAACGAAAATATGAAAATCCGTCTCTGACTCAGAGGGAAAGAAGTATTATTTCGTGTAGTAGTGGGATGGATTCACTTGGGGGTATTCGGGAGGGAAATCCTTGGCAATTATCAAACAAAATAATAAAGTATTGGGTCTTTATGACCTCATGGACAACTTTGTTTTCAAAAGAAATTAATTTAACATGGTTGGCTCCTCATTATTGTTAGTTTAGCTACCCTCGTACCACATCAAGTTATATATGCATGAGGGAAAATAGGTTGTTTCAACTATTAATTCCACTTGCAATTGTTACCTACACACCATATTAAATTTTGGTTTCCAATTCAGGGATGGATTAATTAACATAGTTTTTTTTAAGATTTCATATTATTAAGCTTTGTTCTTGAATCCCCATTGGCTAATTAATTTTCATTAAAAAAATTATTATTCAGCAAGCATATTTCACATATTACTATTTTAAGCAAAAGTGAAAAAAAGTCTTACACATTTGGCAAAAACAAAGAGTAGCTTAACTCTTAAGACCAACATAAAATATATTCGTTTTTGGCAAAACGGTTAGACGAGGGCGATTCAATTCATGTTTCCCCTGAGCAGGACTTCTTGTACGAGGTTGGACTTCTTGTAGACTTTATATTTGTTGACATGTTTATATTTTTAAATTGGCGTATATATTTATATAAAATAGCACGTGGAAATTATTCTGCAGAATTAAATAAAAATAATCCGTATTATAGAGCATTTACCCAGCTTTTACGAAGTTGTAAGGTACAATCACTTTCATGAAACAGTATAAAACACGAAAACCTAATCAAAATCTCGCCTATATTATATTTTTACAGTCAAAGAGTGAAAGGCATATTGCTATAAAATGTCAACACTCACCATCATCGTCTTCAAGAGATAAATATGCCATTAATATCTCCAATTCTTCGCACGATTCAGACAAAATACTTCCCATGTACAGCAAAGGACCGCTACCGTCCAAAACATCCACGATTTCTTTCTTATTCGACAATTTTTAAAGTTTTCAAGCACATTTGCAAGTTTTCGAGTGTTTTTGCAAGTTTTCGAGTCACGATTTCACAGTCCCTCAAATCAGCGCTGCTCAAATTACGCGACCGCGCGTACGAATGAGGGACTGTGGAAGAGTCAGGTAGATAGTTATGATAAGACAAGGGCGGCGCCAGGGCCGCCCATGCAGGGGGGGGGGGGTGGCAACGGGAGCAATTTTCTCCGCTATCCCAGCTCAAGTTTGCAACAAATTTGCAAGGGAATAAAAAGTTTGTCGACGGAGGGGGGTGGGTAATTGTGGTTCACCGGGGCCCCAAGGGTATAATTGGTCCTGGGCCCCCATATTTCATTGAGCTGGCTTGGGCTGCGCCAGTAATTCTCCGACAGGTGAGTCATCAGTGCTCTCTTTTGATCTTTGGCAATTGGCATTAAAACCACTAGAACTACCGACAAGTGACCAGGGCCAGATTAACTCGAGAGTCGAGTCCAGAAGTTTTTTTTTAACCACAATATTTTCATGTTCACCCGTAGGCTCCTCCGCAGGCCACTATGATGGTATTCAAACGGCAAAATTCGTGTATATAATCAGTGTAATAATCAATGCCGACATGCGTTGAATCCCAGCGCCAAAATCAGGCGTATAATTTATACGGCAACACAGAAAAATACAGCCGTATTTCAATTTATATGAAAATTCAAAACAAACTTTGCCCGCACAAGATGGGCTAGTGGGGATATCCCCCATATTCCGCCTTCCCAAACTTGGAATCCCTATATAATCCCCTTTTTCAAATACGGCTGCGGCCAAAGTTTTTTGTTTTGAATTTTCGTAATTGAAATATGGCTGTATTTTTCTGTATTGTCGTATAAATTATATGCATTTTGGCGCTGGGATTCAACGCATTGTAGGCATTGATTATTAGAACATTATACATGAAATTTGCCGTTTGAATACCATCATAGTTGCCTGCGGAGGAGGCTAGTTCACCCGGGAGCATCGCTGTAAACACAGCAGCAATACATCCGCCGTCGCCACTTTCATCTTTATCAACCAGTGCGGATCGATATACGAATACTGTGTAAACCTGAAACATCTATCGTTTCAAGATTTTTTGATTGATTACAATTTTTCAAACTCACAAACAACGACATTTTATTGAGCTGATTGACTACACTGAAAAAATACAGTTTAAATTGCAGCGAATTCAATTGTTCAAACTTCAAAGTTCGCTCCACTTGTACTTGTCACGGTGTCAGAAGCGGGGCGAGACATCGCAAGATATTATATTTTATACTAAATACGCGAGAGCATTCTACACCATATCCGCGTTTTACCCGATCGGGTAAAACGCGGATATGCCTTTGAAAGAGCCGAAAAGTATATTTTACACCATATCCGCGTTTTACCCGATCGGGTAAAACGCGGATATACCTTTGAATGAGCGGAAAAGTATATTTTACACATATCCGCGTTTTACCCGATCGGATAAAACGCGGATATGTCTTTGAGTGAGCCGAAAAGTATATTTTACACCATATCCGCGTTTTACCCGATAGGGTAAAACGCGGATATGCCTTTGAAAGAGCCGAAAAGCATATTTTACACCATATCCGCGTTTTACCCGATCGGGTAAAACGCGGATATGCCTTTGAATGAGCCGAAAAGTGACGCGGATATGCCTTTGATAGAGCCGAAAAGCATATTTTACACCATATCCGCGTTTTACCCGATTGGGTAAAACGCGGATATGATGTTTAAAACATATTTTAGAGAAAAATAGGTCATCCGTTCGTCCGTCCGTCCGTTTATCCGTCCGTCCGTATCAGCGTTTTACCCTAACCCATTATTTTACTTTGTCTGACGCCAGAGGATTTTACTCGGCATGGGCTTATACAAATTGCACTCGACATCATCCTATTTCCTATACTAAAACTTTCGCGTCCTGTATGCTTGTCACATAACATGTTAATTGGTTTGCGGGCTTTATTGTAAATAGGATTAGTTTCTGAAGTCTCATCCACTTGTACATAAATTTTGTAAGCTTTAGCCACTATGATTATTAAGCTAATTCATCGGATGAGTGCCATATCTCGTGGTACGAAGCTGAACAGTAATAAAATGCTACTGGAGGTAGTGATTGTTATACTAATAATTTCACGCCTCTAAACGATCTTCTATTAGTAACAACCACTATCTTATTTCAAGCCGTTCCCAAGTGTGGGATATTGTCAATATTTCGCACATTTGATTGTCTTTCAAGACACGGTTGTTGAAAAAAAAGTAGAAATTTAATACTCTCAAAAAGTGTTTTTAAAAAAAGTGCAGTTACTACGTAGTTGATGGAATTATTTATTTATTTTATACCTAGGTTTAGAAAATTTCGTAAGGCTGTACAAGCATAAAAACCGCAACACCCTACCAAAAAATGAGTTCCTTCCAATACGTCGAATGTTCTACTCGAGATGAACCTCCAGCAAATGCCTTACAAGGTGGATATGATAATGGACCATCATTCCATGCAAGAGGAGTTGTTTCGGGAAAGACAATTCCAGGCAAGGTTGGCGTCGATTCAAATGGACGTTTAGTAGGAGCATGTATTCCTTACGGAACAAGAGAGAATTGGATCCATAGCTTCGAAGTGCTTACGTCAACGCCAGAGTTGAAGATTTCATATGTCAGATGTAAAACTGGAGATAAGCCACCAAAAAATTCTGTCCAGGGCGGGTATGATAATGGTCCTTCCTACCATGCAAGAGGTCTAGTTGATGGAAAAAGAATTCCCGGAAAAGTTGGGGTAAAAGATTGGCATCTAAAAGGAGCATGCATCGCTTATGGTGGAAAGGAAAATCGCATTAACGATTTCGAAGTTCTGGTCAAAGTCATAGACGATTCGATCGGTACCAGAATCGCCACCATCACCCCACCTCTGCCAACTACAACTACAGAAGGCAAACCTCAGGTACAAACTGAGATACAGCCACCACCGGCACACCTGAAGAACGATAAACCGGGTTCAAACAAAACCCCTGGTAAAAGAAAGGAACAACCCACGAAAGGTCAATCGGGCGGCAAACGTAAGAAACTGAACAAAGAGTTACTTGGCGAGGACGAGGAACAAGAGGTAAGCAACACTTTACCGCTATTATTATATGAAATTTTTCGTGACCAATAACCGATGGAATTAGCCATCAAAACAGTGATTGCCTATATGAACCGATTTGGTAAATCTAGCAGGGAAACAATTGCTTATTTCTACGAAGAATTGAATCGCCGCCACCATTTTCCATACAATCAACTCTTAATGTGTGAAATTGAAATTGACAATACCGCCGAAAAAATGTCAAGAATAGCCGCTAGCCTTGGTGGGGAAACTTAAAAACGAATATTCTTTTTTTAGCCCGCAGACAATGAAATAATAATTATTGCTAATATCAAATCATATATGCAGCCTGAGAATCTGTCGGCTAAAGAACCGGTTGCACGCCACATTGACGAAATGAATCAGTCACTATAATACAACTATATCTTATTTGTAAAATGAAGGGAAAAAGATATAAACTATATATATCGATTAATGCAAAAAACAATTTTTTATAGTGAGTGAAGATGGTTATAGGAAGAAGAAAAGTGACCAAGATTGACGTAGAACTGATTAAAAAACAGCACGTCTACTAAAGAATGAAAAACTGAACACAAAAGAACAAGCGAGTGCATATTCACTGCATGCTAAAAATTATCTATTATTAAACGATTGAAAATTCATGTAACAAAACGTAATGAACAGTGGAGTATTGATTTAGCAGATTTGAATAAATTATCAGGCCATAATAATCAATATCGATATATTCTTGTGTGTGTTGATGTTTATACGCGCTACGCACTTATCAAACTACTAAAAATCAAAAACACAAATAACGTTTGTAATAAATTTGAACAAATTCTTACAGAGCAAGGGGAAGCCCTGAAAAAATCGAGAAAAAAAGAAAAAAGTTCCTTACCCTCTTTGTTCCTTTCTAATACAAGATCAATCGTTAATAAAATTGAGGATCTGGAAGTTGTCATTAAGGTTACAGAACACCTTTGAGTGTTAATTTTGCCTAAAATTTTTTTATTGGTTTCAATGAAAGCATTAGACTAGTTCTACTATCTGACCAAGTTTGAACGAAAAATGTTGAAAACTCGCAGAGTTATTTAATAAAATACATTTCGCTGCAATAAGAAAAACATTGAAAATGTAATATTCAAATTCAATTTTCTCCCGAAAAATTTTACGGTAATTACTGATTTTCAAATGAGTTGTGCTCCTGCGGGTTTCAACCAATTTTTCTCAAATTTTCACAGGTCATAGCTAAATACGTCAGTTTCAAAAAAGTGTTCGGCTTTTTTTTAATTTTGGATATTTTAAAAATAAAGAGCAATTCACTCAAACAATTCAGAAATATATTGCAGTCGTCAAAGAAATCGCCATATCAGCGGAATGACGAAATAAACAAAAATTTCCGAACACGGTTTTTTAGAACAACTATTTTACTGTATAAAAATGATATTTTCATAAATATAACTTGAAACCAGCAGGAGCACAACTCAAAAGCCTAACGGTACCGCGATTTAAGATTTTCTTGAATAATTCTTACATTATTTTATTGTTTGTTAATTTTACAACTTTACCATATTTTGCATGCACTGGAGAACATTTGGTGCAAATTTGATGAAAATTGGACTGATATTGAACGCGCAGTAGCGATTTTCCGCAAAACGCCAAAAAGGGTGTCCTGTAACCTTAACCAAAACGACGAGGATATAGTTTGTATTACAGAAACTTGGCTGACCAATAATATTTCCAACTCAGTAGTCGACATTAGTGATTACACGCTAGTACGGAAAGATCGAAGCGCTGATAAACATGGTGGGGGTGTTTGGACGTACATCAAATCATCAACTGATTTCACAACAATTGACGAACTTAATGATTCCCCATTTGAATCTCTTTGGGTATACCTCCGTCCGAACAGACTCCCACGAGGCTTTTCTTGCCTAATTATCGGTATTATATACCGCCCACCACAAGGCGATGATGCTACTTTTACGGATCACCTAATTTCATCTTTGGATGCTGCTTTGAACAAATATCCTAATGCTGGAATTATGTTGGTTGGCGATTTTAATCGTTTGAATTACCGATATATTAGTAACCATTTTAACCTGCGACAAACCGTTAAAAATCCAACACACGGTGCTGCAATCCTCGACCTAATTTTCATCAACCTGTTTCACCGTTATAGCACTCCTCAAATTCTACCCGCAATCGGCTTAAGTGACCATAACTCCCTACTTATTCGTCCTTTAAGTAGAACTCACAAAACGAAAGTAGAATCAATTTTTAGAAGGAATGTAAAGCCAAGCATAAAGTCCTGTTTTGGCAGATGGTTAGCATCTACTGATTGGTAATTCCTTGAAACGCTATCAAACTGTACGGAAAAACTCGCTGCTTTCCAATATTTGCTAAATTTTGCTATCGAAATTTTCTTCCCACTCCGAAAAATCAAACAACACCCAACAGACAGGCTTTGGCCATTTAGTTCAACCCCGGGCTACTGAAGGTAAAAAATTGAATGTCAGATTAACCTTGAGATATAACGATCCATTGCACTATTTCAAAAGAGAACGACAAGGATAGTAAGATCGAGGGCTATTTATATGATCCAACTTTCCCGAAACGAGATATGAGGCGGAATAGAGCTTAACAATTTTGTTGAAATTTTGTTGAGCAACAACATTCCAGTTTCCTTGAACGCCATTTTCTAGTTGTATCTAGTGACTCATCTATACCGTCCTTCGACAAAGAGTATCATGTAGAAAGACCTTAGACAGTAATCGATATACCTTAATTGTGAACAAAAAGGATCGTTGTTTGTGATGTTACTTTGAGTGTATATCCACACTGGGCAGGCTTGAAAAATATGCCTGGCCACGGTGGGAATAGAACCTACGACCTTTGGAATACTAGCCCATTGCTCTGCCAACTGAGCTACGCGGTCGATCAGCTCGGTTGGAGCATGTATAATATTTCGGAACTGAGTCTAGTTCCTTCGATATCTGTATAATCGATTCCCACCGTGGCCAGGCATTTTTTTCAAGCCTGCCCGGTGTGGATATACACTCAGAGTAACATCACAAGCATCTTATTCACCTGAGTACATTACGCCAAAACAGAAAATATCAAAAAGGTACGTGCCACATTGCGAACTTGAAAAGTTGACTGCCAACAACTAATCAAATGTAGTGCTTTTTTTGGGACTTGAAGAACTTTATCAAGCATTTAATATTTGTGTTTTCATATATATTGTAAATGTAGTCAATTAAAATAAATGTTGTGATGTAACTTCTATAATTTTACATATTTAAATATTGCCTAAATATGGCGGCTGAACGCTTGAAGTGGTTGACAAACAACAAACTAATCTTGGTGGGCTCGTGGGCTATTGTACATTTCCATGTATTGGTTGGTTTGACGACATAACCACTATGGTGCAGCAGATGTCATCAACCAGAAGCAATCAGAGTGAGAACAAGTTAATTATTTTCGTTATCTGAAGTAGTGTCGTATATGCATGGTGACCAAATAAATAAAATTGAGAAATGCACTTCAATTATGTTAATTAGTGCTTCTGTAAGGCTCAACATTTCTGACGTTTATTACGTACCATCAATCTGGCGGCGTTTACTAAATCCCACCAGTTGAAATCTGCAGTAGTTGTATTTGGTATGTTGGAGGATTTAGATATGATATGACATATTCACATCGACGTATCCAGAAGTGGAAATTGTGTCCACCACATAGAAAAACTCTGACCAGTACGAAACAAGTGCATTATATTTTCTTTTCTTGTAATTTAAAATTTTATATTTGGCTATATGTTTTAAATGTTTTGGATTGGTTTGTGATGAAACAGTGGTTATGTGCTAAAACCGAAACACACCACTTATCCCGAAAATGCTGAAAACGGTAGTTTACCAATTTTATATTTTTTTTGGGGGGGGGGGCATACCCCGAATCCCCTAAACTTTGTTGTACCATTATGCATATCTATGCATGTTATATTATGTTTGAATGATCTGAAGATGGAGAATCTTGATATTTACCCATATATTATATTATGCATGGATTGCCTGCGAGTCCAATACATTTTCACATAATTTAATTCCAAATTCTATTTCGAATTACCATTCTTGTGTATTTCATAAAAATGCTCAGTGGTTCCGCAATTATTGGAACTAGGGCGGTTAAAATTGCTTCTGCTCCTGAGATTTTTTTCCCTCTCCCTGCTCCGCACATTAAGTAGAAAACCTCGCTACGTTACTGCATATTAACGCACGTTATTGACTGACAAGATTGGCAATGAGTCTATTATATGCCTTAAATATATAGAATCACATTAGTGCCATTTATATACTAGCAAAAACTATATAATAATAATAATATATAATAATGGTTTAATAGCATTTCCACATTGTGGTTTCCATATTATTTCGCAACATAAAAAAATGACGGCTTATTGCAAACCAGTAAGCCATCACTTTTGAGTCCAGCTCTTCTCTGCCATATTTTGGTGGCAAACTTGCAAGCAGGTTGGTAAAATTTAGCAAATCGAACTATGTCTTCACTGGTGTAGGCTTATATCGAATGAGCTGCTTCTTTTGAGAACATTTGCCGAATTTCGCCAGAGAAGGAAAGGAAACTGACAACGAGTGAAGTAATGATTTAGTGAAGCAAACAGCACTTACAGTTATTATTAAACAAAAGTACGTGCTGTAATTCTACTTTATTTAATTTTCTGTTTCGCTTTTGCCCTTTTTGTTCTTGTGTGCATGATTCGTTATCCAAAAACGGCGGACATTCCTGGTTGCATCGCGTCGATATAAGGCAAATTGAAGTTATTGTCTCCTGGGTCACCTTTTGTTACTTGAAAATTTGTTACTTACCTCCCTCCGCACTTCCTTAGCAATCAATGGTAATGTTACCCAACATTGAATATATATTAAGGGGCGGGAAGATGGAAGTTTGTCATAATTATAGAAACTAGACGTAATAGAAATGTTTTCTTTCGGGAAATGCTACGAACAAACAGACCGCTAAGAAAACACGATCGGAAATAGTGGCCACAAATTAGCTCCTATATTAGATGGAAGTTAAGCTTCGAAAATTTTTATGGCGATTTTTTATTAGATTATACTAGTTTCATATGATCATTTGGATCCCTATCTACGGACTATCAACATGCTGTTTTACTTAAATAAATATTACTTCTTTCAATGCGAAATTGCTGGAAATCACTTTTAATTAATCTTTATGAATTTAAATCGGGTGATAGGTTAATGCATCGACCTTCACCATGTTATGTGTAGGAGACTGCATTATCATCATTTCTATGACGTATATTATCCAACTTGAGCTCTGCCTTTAAATTTATCATATACAGAAAGTAAAATATTCCACAGAAAAAATCCAGACAGCTATATGTAATAACGGCCATGACTAAATTTTATCTCGGGTACGAAATGTACGTTTTAGTATTAGTCTTATTAATAGATGTTTTTCCATAGACCATGATAGTACTTATATTAAGTCATTTTGTATAATTTTAACCATAGCCTTGTAAACTGACACATTTTGTTGCTCATGCAGTACGTATGGCTTCACAATATCTATAAAGCTATAGTTGATAGATCGTTATTAGGAGCCTTTTTTGTGGTCGATATAATTATTCATTCTTGAATGTTCCCTCATTTTTTCAAATTATTTTATTGCCTGTGACAAATTTTCGTAACTCATTACCGTTTTTGTCATCGGACTTATCGGTATATAAAGCAGTTAAATTTCATACACTTCTTATATCGATAAATTTTAAACCTTTAATTAATTTAATTCCCTTTCCCCCTTTTTTTTCATTTTCGAGCATATACTAAGACAGTTAATCATTTATTATAATACAGATATTATAATACAATTTAT